AGTAAAAAAAATGTCAAATATGTCAAAATGTATTAAATGTTATGTTGACAATTGATAGGGAGCCGGAAAAAATCTCAAATCGACGGAAAGAAATTAAAAACAGACTGAGCACCTTTCCTTTAAGCGGAGTCTGCAATTAATGGATAGTGGCAAGTAATTGATTAAGGAGTAACACGTCGGAGTAAGCTGGTTTTTTGGTTTAATAGAGCGTAGAGTAAGTCCGTAAGCGAAATAATTGAAATCCATTTCCTACGGCTACTTTTTTACTCTCAGCTAACGAGAGCTCAGCAGTAACACGAAACGCGCGCAATAGGAACCGATGCAATTTTCACATTGGTTTATTATAATCTTTACTTATTTGTCATTGTAGATACTCGGACATAAAGAAACTTTAATCCTACAGTTTACTCCTAACGCTTACTCTTTAATCCATTACTGCTACTGCTCATTGTAATTACTTAATTGCGCAATTATATTGATAACGGATGCTGTGATAAATGTAAAAATCTAGAAATCTAGAATCGGTATTTATAATCCGATTCTGATCTTATTTCATGACCTGCATCTTAAATAATGTACTAAAATACTACAATGTCCAATTACGATATTGATTTATGAGTTTAAAATTCTGTTTAAACTTACTTAAATACATAACGGCATACGAACTATATGCTTTGTTAATCAATAATTTTAGGTTTTGTGTGCTTTTCTTGTCAGGTAATCAACAAATTTATTTGATATAATATTTACAATATTTAACGCAGATACATTTTGTATTGTCGTTTTATTCATACGTATACTCTTATAATTCGAGAAACGTACTCTTAGTATCTTTCTTTACCATTTTTTTATTTAAAAAGATAATTTTCATTGATACACTTCATAATATTAATAAGTATATATTTTAGGCATAAAAATTAAAGACGGTACCACTTGGATTTTAATATTTAAATTTGATGCAACAGTTTATTTCTCCTTGAGGTCATAATTGACGCAACATACAATATATATTTATTTATAAAATTTTACTGATAAAATAATAAAATATCCAATTTTGTATTTATGGTACATCTAGAATTATACATACAAATTCTAAAACTTAGCTTTAAATTTTAATATACTATAATAACAGTTTTTGTTATAATATTAACTTAACGAATATCAACATATATATTACAACATATATAATATATACATTAATATTATAATTTTTTATTTAACAATATAATTGTAACGTATGTATTATGTTATATAAATTGAATAAGATAATTGATATAATAATGTTACTATTAGTTAGTTGTATTTATCTACTTATTTATTCTTTTAATCTTCTTTTACTGACTAATATTTATTATATATTACATAATTTCCAATTTTATTGATTACAAAACATAGATAGATAGTCCTCAAATTTAAATTGTATAATGATTACATTTAATAATTGTTCTTAATTATTAATTATTAAATATGAAGGAACACATTATAATTATTCAAATTTTTATTATAAAAATTTTATTATAAAAAGAAATTAAGCAAGTAACATTGTATTATGTAATCAGTATTGTATTTATTACAATAGTGTATAATACTTAATTATTAAAATTGAAAGTCTATAATTGTGAAAATTAATATATGCATATTTGAAATATCAGTATAGTATACTATAAATCGTATTCACTATACTTGTACGCTTGTTGAAGATGTTAGCTCGCATATAATGTATAGCTCGCATATATGTTTACATTACATGTAACATATGGAATTTTGAAACTTGTTAGCAGGTTAACATATCGTTTATAATTGAGCGTTCTGCGAACTGTATGTATAGGCGTAATAAATCGATATGGAGCTAAATAAACGCGATAGCATTAATCGACTTTGATCGCTTATAACTTGAGAATTGACTGTGATATTTTAATATTAAGACTCAATCTCTAATTAATCTCTGGAAGATTGCATTAAGATATTCTAAAATTATAAACTTTCAGAAACGTATAATATAAAAATGATGTTAGGGTAAACTCGAGATGTGGATCGATATGTTTTGTGTTGGACAATTGCCACCGAAACCGGCGGTCAACATTACTCCCCCAACACCGGAGGAATACGAAATTCGCGTTATTGTTTGGAATACCGAGGACGTGCCGCTGACCGAGAGCCAATTCCTCACCGGGGAAAAGTGCTCCGACATTTATGTCAAAGGGTATATTGTCACAAAAGTGTAATATGCCGATGACTAAGAATATTTTATTGCAGGCTCTCTCATCTAACAATTACATATATATATATATGTACATATACCGACATAAAAATGCGTTATAAAATAACAGTTACAATCGATATTGATCAAATTATCAAAATTCACTTTGTTGCCCGCGATTAATTAGCTATCCTGATTAATGATTCATAAGCGTATCGAAACGACAATATTTGTCAACACACATAATCCGCGTGATTTATTCACTCAAAGCAGAAATCAAAGATGGAAAGTGGAAATTGTTGTTTTGCGATATTTACTAGTGATATTAATGACGCTTTTTGTGGAGATTCGCACATATCTCTCTTTAAATTTTTCACTTTCGATTTAAATATAATTTAGAACATCGTAAATGTAATTTAAATCGTCTGTATAAAGCCTTGACGCTTTTGTTTGTCTTTTATATTTATTATAATAAATATATGTATACGTTTGTCGGTAATAAAATCTAACAATTTTGTTTTAGATTAAATTCTTAATCAATTCTTCGGAGTTTAATCAGTTTTGAGTTTCAATGCAATAAAATAACTAACTTTTCACTTTGTAATAAAAACGGTCAAGCAATTCGATAATGCCGGATTCGCCATCTGTTCGAAATAATTGCGTAGGTGGATTCAATATGAGGATTACCAAAGGACCGACATCCACTATAACTCTCTGACCGGCGAGGGTAACTTCAACTGGAGATTCGTATTTCGTGTCACGTATTCGAAAGGTGAAAATATCATGATAGTCCGCAGAAGAATGTCTGTGTTTGCGAAAAACGAGATCGAGGAGAAGCTGCCATGCAAGCTTCGCCTACAAGTCTGGGACAGTGATCACTTCTCCTCGGACGATTTTCTAGGTGATTAAAATATGCCATCAGTCTGTGTGTTTCGGTATGGAAACCATTTAAAATATCGATTTTGATAATCGAAGCCGGGATTGAGCTAAATAAATCTTGTATGCGATTACCGATATGAAACAATCATGTAATTTTATACTTGATAATTATTTTTCAATCAATGAACATGTATGTAAATTTAGTTCACAAAAATTATAAAATAATTCTCTTTATTTGTATCTGCAAAAAAAACACTGCATTTTCTTAGAAACAGGAAATATCTGAAAAGATAAATTATGCCGAGTTTATAATGAATTAATGTGGCATATTGTACAAACAAATGTAATGTCTTCGCTATTAATCAACGTGTTGCAGGAGAGTTGACACTGGACCTGTCCAGAATGCCGCGGGGCAGTTCAAACTCCAAAAACTGTACGCTGAAGTTACTCGAACCGCAGTTACCTACAATAAATTTATTCAAAGTTACCCGGACCAGAGCTTGGTGGCCTTTCGCGCGTGGTATTGACGCCGGCAGATATATTCAAGCGGTCAAGTATCATAAAATCACACAAGACATTGGAAATGTCTTAATTAAACCAGAAAATAAAATATATAATTATATGAGAATTACTCCGAAAGAAGATAAAAATGGAATTAATAAATAATTTTTCATCGTTTAATAATTATACTTTCTTTCATTATAGGGTAAAGTTGAACTGGAAATATCTATTTTGAAAGCAGTAGATGCGGATAATCAGCCGGCAGGCAAAGGAAGGGATCCACCTCAAAATCTTCCACCTCCGAGGTTTATCTCTTCACTCTAATTTAATTTCTATTTTTCATATTAATATTTGCAAAAGAAATCACTCCTTAATGAGAATGATTTGTCATATAATTTGAAATTATATATTTTGGGCAGTCTGATAATGATTAACGTGATAATTTGTCTTGTTTTTTAATTCCAAATAAATTAGCAAAAGGATATAATATCAATATATAATAATATAATATATATAATAGTGTTATAATTTTTTCAAATTAAAGAATAGAGAGCCAGATATATGCGCTGAAATATCTAAATATATTGCCAACGATCTACAATACATCGAATATACGAATAAAGTCGCTGATAGAAACAATTAAAATTAAACAAACCTTTTCGACCTTATATGCGGTCATCTTCAATGTTTCGTCTAACAAGAATTAAACTAAATTATTACAGAATGTCAAATGCTATGTCTTACGAAGATATAGTGCAAAATCTTTTTCGATCTCTTGCTGAAATTCTCTCTACGATTTCTGTCTACGAATCCATTTTTCTTGCAGGATCCTTATCTGTATGCAATATAGTAAGATATTTATATTACGAAAATTTTTATGGATTCTATTTAATTCTTTTGACGAATTGCGCTGATGCAAATTAATGTGTTTTTGAGTCGCTAGAACTAAATGTGCATCAGAAACTAGTTTAAAGCAAGTACAAGATCCCACGAAGCGAATGCGATTGCGCGCAGAGATATTTTCGATCTCGTGAGTTTCTTAAAAACATTCAATAAAGAGCACGCACGTGTACCAAACTGTATTCTAATGAACTTGAAAAAACCATAACAATCATAAAATTGTTCATATAACCGCATATAGTAACGCTCGCGTTGAATTAAAATCGCGTTTGTTTAATTTTAATTGTTTCTATCAACTTTATTTGTACATTCGATGTTTATTACAGATCGTTGACAATATATTTTAGATATTCGAGCGCATATATCTGGCTCGGTGCACCAGCTTTTTATTCTTTAATTTCTTTATTTCTATAAACCTTAATTGTTACTTTAACAACTATTTTAATTTAATATATATTACTAAAAAATCTGTTGTTAAAAATTAATATTTATTAGAAAATTGAATAATTATTCCAATAATACATATTATTGAAAAATCAGTTATTGATCATTTTTTATTTTTATTATTTACTGTTAAAAAACAAACTGATTTTCCAATCTTTTTGTGTTTTGGAATATTATTTCTCTAATAATGTCCGATTTTGCTTTCGTGCTCTTCCCTCTTCTACATTCGATATTTCCAATTATTGATTATTATCGAGCATACACATTATATATTATGGTTTACAGGCGACCCGACACTTCTTTCTCCTGGTTTCGCAATCCGTGGCGTGCGTGCTGCTTCGTCGTTTGTCGCTATTATAAATGGCGAATACTGTGCTGCTTCACGTGTACGCTATTTGTGCTTCTAATAGCATGCGGGATTTACGCTTTCCCCGGATATTTTGTTAAACGTCTCTTAGGCGCTTAATTCTTGAAGCAATTCAAACGTTTAACAAACGTGAATATGAATAGCTCTAAGTCCTATTTCCTAAATTACTTATAACTACTATTATTATTAAACTTAAAAATTAATATTATATTGTAGTTTACGCGTATAGAAAATAAATTAATAACCACATTCTTTTTCTATTGTTTAATCTGTTTTCGCTAAAAATAATTAGCAAACAAAAGTGTCATCCGTTCGGTAAAGGATACGCTGTAGCGTCTCCTTCATTATGAATCATGATGTAACGAAAAAATATACTTAGCGGAAGACGCTACCGCGTCTCCTGATTATTAAATTAAATGATGAAATTATTTACAAAAATGGACGAATCTTAGTATTAATATAAAACGCACAGAAGCACACATGTTTCTTTTAAATATAATGCGCGCGATTGTACGGCCACTTTACAAAATGGGGTTCTAAAATCATTTCATTTGTTTCGTGATAACGACAATTTGGTGTTTTCGAGAAGTTAGATCAGTAAATAAAAATCTCAACGCTTCTGTTATGTTAGCGTTTCATGGTCCTCGTAGTTACGAATAATTAAGTAACACGCTGCGTTATGGACCTTTTCCGGGTTCCAACCCATTAGCGATTAGCCGTCTGTGTGTGCGTATATGCGTGTATATATATAACTTGCTAGTACAATGAATCCTGTATAATGTGTAACATGTGACGCAGAGAACATGTTACACATATTCCGCGTTATATGAACGTAATACCAACCGCATGAGTTGTATATACAATACATACATAAATTTAACATGAAGATTGTAATTTTATCTTTTACGTATGAAAGCTTCAATAGTAGAATTTGCATTTCACTTTAAAACAAAACAGACATTAAAATAAATTTAAAAATTTAAACAAGAATTTAATACTTGTTTAAACACTGAAATAATTCATGCTTGTAAATTTTTCACCTTACAGTTGCGTATTATAAAAATTAGTTGTGTCTCGTTGTACGTGTATTTAACGCGTTGCTGCGAACGTTGCTGATTTATTGTGTCACACGCGAGCGTTGCCGCAATTTTTCATTGCGTTATTTAAGATGATAATGCAGACTTTTTAATTCCAAACTAAAAATATAGACAATAGTAAAAATTTAATTTAAGATATCTTTAATTTAATTTTTTATATTGTCATTCTGTCTCACTTAAATACATACATCTATCGATCCTTATCTAACATATTTCATGCAGCGTCATTTCTTGTAAGATCCGACAATTACTGTTACATGCGCTATTTTCTTCAATTCCAACCTATATTTACGTTTATAAAATTGAAAATAAAATATTAAAAAGTAATTTCTTTTTCTAGACTTTTAATCTTAATACCAATTGCAAGATTTTGTCCGTAGATGGCACCGATTGCATTTTATACATATAAACTGCAGAATTTTTGTATAATTAAGCAAATATTGTCATCAGGTGACAGTGTTCTACGACCTACATGTCAAAAATAAGTGGTATTTTTAACTTTTTCTCATTTTTAACATAAAATCAATCGGTGCTTTCGTTTTTGTGCGTATTTCAATTATCTACATATAAAAAGGATTAATTTTGCATTCTGTAAAGCCTGCAATTTAAAGATAGGTTTAATTTGTCGGTAATTGATTTCACTTTAAGAATCCCCTTAAAGTGCGTGCAATAAACATTGAGAGTACCGTGGGAAATGACGGCCGAGCGTCATATCGTGTTAATTAGTACGCGAGATTTCAATTAACGTGTTTTCCCGGTATGTCCGCCTGATCAACAAAAACGACTATCGAACTCAAATGGAGTTAGATAGGCAATAGCAATGCATCGATCGGTGAGTCAATTTATCTGTTATATTGTCGCAACTAATTGCTTATTTATTGTAGTTGCAATAATTCAACATTTTCGCGGTCTATATCACATAGCTTTTTCTTTCCAAGAATTGATATACACACACGTGTACATATATAAACGATTCCACATTAAATCGAACAGCATATAAATGCGTATTTTCGAGGGGGTAATCACTCTTGAATTCCGGTGTACAGCCTGTCAGAATTCCGTTGAATTCCATTGAATTCTTTGAAGTTCGATGAAGTCCGGTAAAGTCCGCTGAAGTCCATTGAAGTCCGACATAGTCCAATAAAAATATAGTCCAATTTGTAAAAAAAAGGTTATCAGTTTTTATCGAGTTCTTTGCATTTGTTGAAAAATTTTGCCGATGTTTCCAGACAAAGACCCGAAAAATGACAACCGTATCCATAAAAGTTTAGTGAAATCCGACAAAGTCCGATGAATTCTGGTGTAGTCCGATGAATTCCAGTGTACTCCGATGAAGTTCGTAAAGTCCAGTGAAGTCTTGAAGTCAGAAGTCCAAGTGTACATATATTTTCTGAGTGATTACCCCCTCGCGTATTTTTTATTCTTTTTTCTGAACTTTTAATTTTTAATACATTAATATTAATCTATGCATTTATGTCAGGTTTCAATGTTTTAATCATAATATGCTCCAAACAATTGAATTTTTAAATTTACGCACATATATTCCAAAATCACTTTTATTATAATTTTTTAATTATTACATTTTTATTATAGTTTAGTAATTAATTATAGAATGCTCCAACTTGCAAACAGCTATGAATACCAGCTTTAAAATACCTATAAAATTCGATGGTTAATTATTTGAAATTTGCAAATTTATTACACTATACATGTTAAACAAATTCTTGATAAATAATGACAGAAGCGAACCCAGCTTAACCTTAACAGATATTGTTAAGGATACTTTTTTAAATAACGTCCAAAAGGTTTAAACTGTCGCTCGTTATTTGTTAAAAATTTATTAATAATTAAAAATTAAAAATTGAAGTGGATTAAGAAGCTAAGTTATAATAAATTCGTACTAATTACACAGAATGAGTAAATTGCATTTAAAAAATATTTATTAATGTTTATAATAAAATTACAATTGTAGGCATGATTTCACAAAATAAAGGGACGGTGCGGGGTGGACCTCACTTTGTGTGGAAAGTTGGAAACCCCTGTGAAACCATACAATTATTATATACTAGAGCAAAACAAAGCGCGCGCTTTGCGCGCGCCATTTATTCACTATCCCTGAAACATAAAACACACACACACACACACACACACACACACACACACACACACACACACACACACACACAC